TAAGTAATCTGAATCTCCTAGAAACTATCCACACGCCTATAAATATAACCAACGCGACGCGCCAAAAAAGAGTATATATTACTAGTTTGCTATAGTCAGTGTGCTATAAACTTCGGAAGCTATAACTGTGGTTGTTACAATGCTTATCAATCGGAAAACTTCAGATATTTGACCAGGAGCATTTACAAAGTTCGAACATTACAAATCATTTAACTTTAGTAAATTCTCATTGGGCATTAGTATTTTTACGAAGACATTATATAGCTTCACGGTGGAAAACTCGGCGTGTGTGGCTGGTCAATAACGAAGGACAAAGCTAGCTAGCTCCCTGTTAAGTGAATCGTACCTACATCAACTCGTAATTAACTCGCGCACCGTGAACCCTCGATAATATATCAAGGATGTTCCAAACTAGAAAGAAAACTTTATATTGTTTGTAAATTTGTAAAACTTTTGTATATCAATCATCGTGTGTAATAATTATTTGTAATAACTGTTATTGTAAATTGTATTATTGTTTATATATTGAAATATATTTGTATTAAAAGAAAACTGTGTGTATCAATCTTGTTGGCAAATACCATAAACTGATTATATATCGGCTTTTACTTAACTGCTAAATCCAAAGTACAATTTAACTACTAAACTTGAAGTATCAGTTAACCCAATTTCAGGCTATTTGAAATTGTAATACGTAACATAATGTTAACGTCACTATTGTTACGTAAACTGAAGATTCGAGAAACTCCCCACATGCCTATAAATATAACCAACGCGATACGCCATCTACTATTGGGTTGCTGTAACTGGTGTGCTATAAACTTCGTAAGCTATAACTGTGATTAACACTTATTAATTGGGAACTTCATACATATTGGCCAGGAAGTTTTATAAATTTCGAATATTACAAATCATTCAACTTCAGTGGATTCGCATCGGACATTAGTGGTTTTATGAAAACTTTACCTAAAGTCACCGGTAGGAAAAATCGGCGTGTGATCAGTGAATTTAACAGAGCTAGCTAGCTTCCTGTTAAGTAAATTTTAACTACATCAACTCGAAATTTTTCTGTGTATGTAATTTAAGTAATTAACCTTAACTATTTTTATCACACAAAGCTACACGATGGGCTGTCTGGACTCTGCCCACCACGGATATCGAAACCCGCTTTCTAGCGTTGTAAGTCTGCAGACATACCGCCGTGCCACTGGGGGGCTTTTTTATTATTACTATCCAGAGTTGTATGGATGTTGTCATGAGATGTGTTGAATAACTGAAGTACGTTTGTTTCCATCCCCTCTATGAGGGTGGATTAACAAAGAGAGAGAGAGAGAGAGAGAAAAAAACCAACAAAATAAAAAAAAACTCGCTCATCTTGAACCCTGGATAAGATATCAAGGAAGTTCCAGACTAGAAAGAAGACTTTATATTGCTTCTAAGTTCTTAAAACTTTTGTATATAAATCATTGTTTATAATAACTATTTATAATAACTGTTATTGTAAATTGTATTGTTGTTTATATATTTAAACATATTTGTATTTAAAAAAGAAAACTGCGTGTATCAATCTTGTTGGCAAATATCATAAATTGAATATATATCGGCATTTATTTAACTACTAAATCTCAATTACAATTTAATTCAGTTTTAGGCTATTTAAAATTGTAATGTTTTGCGAGAGAAAATCTAGTGTACTTAAAACAACAAATCGAGCATGGTTCCACAGTAGTTGTATTTTTGAATGAGATATAAATATATAATTTTTATTGACGTACGGTTTTAATAATAATGTTTATAGTAATTTTTCGGGAAACAGAAATGAAGAATTTTGCATTAATAATCTATATTACACTCTAAAATATGAGCTATTTATTATGTTAAATGGCTAACCATAAATAATATTTAGTACTAATTTTCATACAATACTCTTTTTTTTTCTAGTGAAATAAGAGGAGGTTGAGGAGACAGCATTTGTGGCCAAAACAGTATCTAAGACAGATTTTTCAACCGACCGTAAACTCACTGACAGCCAGTAAAAAAAAAAAGAAAAAAGTTATGTTTAACACTGTTTATAAACTCATATTTAGTTATTTTTTGTTTAATGCTCTCATCAAAAAATGTATTACCAGTTAAAAAAAGCCACTGTTTGTATGTGTGTCAGTAAAAACGAAATTGTAAATTTGGCAAGTGCATAGCCGTTCGTAAATTTAAAGTTATAGATTAAAAGAAAGGCAAGCTGCTAGTCAAAAGCGTCGATCATCAGTTTTTTGGGCTAGCTACTGTTGTCTGACCAATTAGAAAGATTTCACTGTCATCTTATAGAATATCCACAAGTCCAAAGTGCTCATCGGTAAGTCTGAAAGCTAATAACACTAAAAACCGGTTTTTGATACACGTTGTTGGGCACGGTACAGATAGCCTATTGTGTAGTATTGAGCTTAACAACAAACAAACAAAACAAAGTGCGGAGGACATGGCCCCCAGTGGCACAGCGGTAAGTCTGCTGACTTACAACGATAGAAACCGGGTTTCTATACCCGTGGTTGACAGAGCACAGATAGCCCGTTGTGTATAACTACAAACAAACAAGCGGAGTACGTTTCTGCTCAACGAGACGCAAGCTAATTAATATTCAGAACATGATAACCACTAGACCACGCCTGGTTCGCGAAGGTAAGTAAAACAAAGGATTATGTTAGCTAATATCAATAATTTTGGAGAGTTTGTTTTGTTAATTTCGCGCAAAGCTACACGAGGGTTATTTGCGCTAGACGTCCTTAATTTAGCACTGTAAGACTAGTCATCACCACCCACCGCCAACTCTTGGACTACTCTTTTACCAACGAATAGTGGGATTGACCGTCACGTTATAACGCTCCCACGGCTGAAAGGGCGAGCATGTTTGGTGTGATGGGGATTCGAACCCGCGACCCGCAGATTGCGAGTCGAGTGCCCTAACCACCTGGCCATGCCGGGCCATTTTGGAGAGTCCAACAACTGTAGATTTAAGTAATTGTACTGTGTGTGTAACAGACCTTTGGGTGCTCATTTAAACGGTATAAAATGGCAATTATTATATGAAATGACAATAATTACTTCTAATTAAACTATGTTTTATAAATCCTTTACCATTTCAACATCAAAAAAAAGCTGACATATATATCAACATTTCTAAAACGTCTTATTTTAACAACCAATTTTATGCTCTTACGCAATAGTCGCGAAATACGTTCAGTTATGAGCAACTTACGATGTGTGGCTTCTATTGAAATTAAATGCAAAAGTGTCAAATTTCGCGATCTTACTCAACGTTCAGTGTCATTTCAAATATTTCGTTGATGATCAGTTAGAACTGGAATTTTCGCTCTGAAAGCCACGTTTCGCAACACGTGGACTATACGGTCAGGTTATAATTTGGAACTACTGACCAGAGGGAGGATAGGTAGCCAGTCAGAAACATCCGTGGATACAAGAGCTTTGAAATGAATAACGGGATTAACTGCTATTTTTATAACGCACTCACGGCTGAAAATACGGAGTGTGTTCGGCGACGTCACGACTCTAAATTTAGACTGGAACGCTATTAGGCCACACCCAATCCAACAGTTAAGAAAACCATCGGATCATTTTAAAAGTTTAAAGTTAGAATGTTGTATAGAATAAACGGAAACTTACTATTTTCCAGCCGTGACCCTGCCAAAAAAAAAAAGGAAACTAATT